ATAAAAAAATAAAAAATTATAATTTTCTAAATGTAAAAAAAATTCAAAAATTAAAAAAAATTACTACCCATTTTATTACTAAATTGTAAAATAAGAAATTATAATCGTCACTCCTTCGCTCTGACTTGCGTTTGCAATTAGCCACATATGCATAACAATGAAGCGTAACAGTCGCACTGTCTGAGACGGTTGACAACTGGAGTCTAAGCATTTCACAGCAGCTACTCAAGTGTGACCGTTATGACGCAAGCTTGACGCCTGCGTGAAGCGGCTTGGTGACAATTTAAGCGGCAAATCTCAGGCAAAGACATAACAAAGCAACATTTGTGCAAACAAGAATTGGGTAACAGCATTTTCACGCCAAAAAACGCTTACAATTTCAAAAAGGAAATAAAGGACAACCGCCTCATACGGTTACGTCATCAAAAATCACACAAATATATAATATGCGGAAAAGCAATACAACAATTGCTTCCTTCCAACTAACAGTATTGTTTTTTACCGTTGTTACGGTGCATTTCCTTCGGTCACCAGTTATTTCGGCCCAGTGAATGTCACCTTTTTAAATGCATATGTACAACAGCAATGTCCAACAGAGCTGCTAAACACATACACAAGCACAAACGTACCGACACTTGAGCGCATGCGCGACCTGTTCAAACGGCAGTTCAACGGTTCAATGGTCCATCGGTAGTGCTATATATAAAATGGAAATTACAAAAAAGTCGTTAAACATAATATTACCAACGGCATCAACAATAAAGAAAACAACAATAACAAAGGCAGTAATCATAACACAATCAACATAATATGAAATAAGTTAAATAATAAGCCATATAGTCGCTGACTTGCCGATCAATTAACCTTGACACTCACTTTTTTGCTGCCACCACTTCTATAAACAACAACAACAGCTACAACAAAAATATCGAATAGCGGCTGATCTGTTTTGCTTTGTTTCCCTTTTCTGATTATGTTTTTTTTTAATTTGTTTTTTTTTAATTTTGTGATTTTTACTGTTGCGCGGCGGCATCTCAAGCGTCGACGAAATATTTTCGGCGAGATTTAATTGTGCGGTCGCGTTGTTAACGCGTTTGCATTTTCGGTCTCAACCTCACCTCCAGCTTCATTATTTTAATTTCTTGTATCTAAAACTAATTTTATTTCTACTTTTTGTTATTTTTTCGTTTTTTTTTTTGCTTTTTCGTGCACAGTTTTCTACTTCTAATCGCGCACGCTCGTCTTCTTTCTCAGCCAAGGCGGAAGGTGAGCATCAGTCTGCGGTATTATCGAAAGCGGTACGGACGTGGACGCTCTGGGCAGCTCTTGGCGGTACGGATTGGTTGTTGCTATTGCTATTGACATTGATGTGAAGTGGATTTTGTGGTGCTGGAGTTTTGTGAATTTTAAAACTTTAATTTGTGAAGAATGAATTACGCTACAGCTGCTATTTTTATGTGTGTGTGTTTGGGTGTTAGTGAACAAAATGTAATAATATTATAAAAAAATATTTAAAAAATATGCAAATCCATCAAAAATAAAATTATAAAGTAATGTTAAAAAAATTTTGAAATTTTTGAAAAAATATAATTTATTAAAATAACTTATAATTGGCGTCATAAAAATTATTAGAATATAGTCTTGCTGTCAAACAAATATTCCATTTCAAATTATCAAAAAAAAAACAAAAAGCTATGAAACTTTCAAAGAAAAAAATATTTTTTTAATATTGAATACAAAGACTGTCTCTTATACACATCTAGATGTGTATAAGAGACAGGGACAGGGAAGCAACACAAATGGGTCTGGTGGTGAACGAGGGCATGACGAAATATCGCCTGTCATCAAACAAACAGTCGTCACACTCGCGACTGCGCTCTCACGTCACTGTTGACAATCATAACGTCGAAGTCGTAGATAATTTCGTCTATCTTATAGCCAGTATTAAAAAATGTCAGCCACGAAATCTAATATAGAGTAATCTTGCCAACAGGTGCTACTTCGGACTAAGTAGACAATTGTGAAGTAAAGTCCTCTCTCGACGAACAAAAACCAAACTCTA